ATTTCTAACCTAATGGGCCCGCGGGCGAGTTACGTGTTGACAAGCCTTACCCCCCCCCCCCCCCCCCCCCCCCCCCCCCCCCCCCCCCCCCCCCCCACTGCCGCAGCCCTGCAGGAGAGCCTTAATCGACTTCCTATAGATGTGTATGATATACTGAAAAAGAAAAAAAAAATAACTCATACACTCTGGGCAGCTCACTTTCGTGCCTACACTGGTATACACACCTGTGAAAAAAGGCTCAAATTAACGGAACTCTTCTCTGCATGCTAGTCGGAAGGGGAAAAAAAAGTTTTCAAAAATGCATCAGCTCACAGAGCCTCCCGTCCTTGTAATTGTTTGCATCCCACGAAATGTAAAGAAATGAGGAACGGCCCTGATGGTGCCGATAGCGAGTCCCACTCCTTGATAAACTCTGATTCACGGCAGCAACTCTCTTGGAATAATAATTATCCTACAACAAATTAATATCGACGATTTATTTCCTGACCGGTTTTCCTTGGCCTTGCTATTTTCTCAGCCATAAAATCACTTCTCAAAGAATTAAATTCTGTGCTTAATAAGAATTCCTGGTGGCGGCCATTCTCCTTCCCATTTTATTTTTTGATGTAGTAGCGGCATGTATGATTACGCCCCTTCCCAATAAACCCGTGGCACTTTTGCCTTCGCCGTGGCGCTTTTGCTTTCGCCGTGGCGCTTTTGCGCTTGCCGTGGCGCTTTTGCGCTTGCCGCGGCGCTTTTGCGCTTGCCGCGGCGCTTTTTGTTTTGCCGTGGCGCTTTTTCTTTTGCCGTGGCGCTTTTTGTTTTGCCGTGGCGCTTTTTCTTTTGCCGCGGCGCTTTTTGTTTTGCCGTGGCGCTTTTTCTTTTGCCGTGGCGCTTTTGCGCTTGCCGTGGCGCTGTTGCGCTTGCCGCGGCGCTGTTACGCTTGCCGCGGCGCTTTTGCGCTTGCCGTGGCGCTTTTGCTTTTGCCGTGACAGTTGTGGGCCACCGTAATTTCCACAGGCATCGTACACGGAATACACCACACCACCGAAGGATTTTTTTTATATCAATTTGAAAAGGAAGAGTTATACTACACAAAAGACAGGACAATTCGGGAAGGTTAGTGGGCAATCTCTATTCCGAACGAGAAACGTGATAAGTACCGCGATAATATGGCAACCAATCCTATGTGTTGTGTTGTTTGTGACATTGTTGTTGTGTGTGTAACTTGTAAATTTTTGTATTGCAACTGGGGTCCGGGATCTCTACTCGACAAGCATTGCTTTTTACGGATCCCCATCCACATATTTTGTATACATTTAACTCTGATTGTCTTCTTTTACGTTGAAAATAAAGTGAATTGAATTGAATTGAACTCACTAAATCTGTTGATGATGAGTCGAGTCGTCGCTGAAGTGATGGATGAGAAAGTAAACATCGGATTCGCAAAAGAAAGTAGCACAGCGCCCTCACGTGCCCAGTTTTGTTTAGGTCTAACTTTTTGACAAACTTTCAAGTGGGGGGCCAATGTACTTCCGTTGGCATGAAATGTTAATTTTTGGCAATAGGTTGGACCATCTTCTGGGATGTTTTAACTTACAAAAAAATGATGTTGCCATTTTTTTCTGACCATTTTCTGATACCTTAATCTTATTTTCCATAATATACCCCAAAACGGGTCAAAATGCACACAACATGGTGTTAGAAAGCGGAGCTTAAGTATTCATTAAGTATCCATTTACCCCTTTGGGGTTTTTAATAATGCTTCTTATACTAAGTACATGCGTCTTTAAAGTCCTGTTAGTGTGTGGAGTATAAACAGCTGAATTTTCCAGTAAAACATCAACATATTTTCGACTATTTAAATATTAACATGACATCTTTTGCTGGAACATTACATACATGTACATACACGTTTAGATCTTCCAGCAGACACATGTTCATCTGTCTAATGTTTATAAAGGATTCTGTCCATGGCCGACCATAGCAGCAGTACAAACTGCTGCAGTGTCAGAACTAAATTGAAGGATCATCCCCCTCATCATCGTCGTCACTCGAGTAACGTGACAGGTTGGCATACAAATGCCTTGATGCCTCCTTCTGTTGCGGCTGTCAGCTTGCAGGTAGCTCCCAACGCAGCAAAGGCAGATAACACCTCAGCAGAACACTAATTTAGTGCCTGCCAACAATAAAGCTTGCCCTTCATCGTAAACTTGCCCGTCTGCTTAGCTCCAGTGAAAGCATGGAAGCCTGCATCTGTGGAGGCGCCGCTGAGGGTATTGGCTATTATTGGTGCCAATGGTATTTCCTGTTTCTTAGTCCCAGTGCCACTGCAACCAACGAAACAAAAACAATTCAACCAACGAGCTGTTCATCTGATTAACATCGACGGAGGAAGAAGATGATTCCCCAAATTCCAGATGTCTCTCCAAATTCCAGATGTCATCTCCACCCCACCCACAGCAGGGCACAGCAGTGGACTCCCGGAGGCCTTTGTTAAGGCCGGCGCTAACAGTAATATCTGCTAACTTTGAGGGGACATGGACAACCAAAGACTACCTTCTTGCCAATATCTGCAAGAACACCAAGTGCGGTGTCCTTTGCCTGCAAGAAATGCACCGTAGTCTCAACAACAGACCAAAAATTCATGGTGTGACACTGACAATGATGTCAGAGCGCCCCAACGAGAAGTAAGGGAGTGCGTTGGGGTTTTTTTTTGGGGGGGGGTCAAAACTGGGACTGTCATCCAGTCAACTTCCATATCCGATGACCAGAACATCAAAGTTCTGACATCTGTCATCATAACATCTGTCTACAAACCACCCGGACGCCCCTTCCTAATGCCACCGCCACAATCCACAAAACAGTTAAAGCCGGGCATAATTATCGGGGATTTAATAGCCACAGCAGCATCATTGGCTACCATTCCACCACAGACGGCGACGCTTTGGAATCGCTGGCCGAAGCTAGCAAGTCAACTGAGCCTGCAATGCGAAACTGCCGATAAGTCTTTCGACAATGGAGGCCGAAGTCTTTCCACTGTGGAAGCTGGAGATAAAGTTTCATTCCTGCTCTAGCCTTTGTGAGCCACAATATCGCCTCGCTTATAATAAAGGTTGGTCGAGGCGATAAATAATATCGCCTCGACCAACAAGATGGTCCTTGACCCCATTCCAAAGACCCGACGTCGCCCTATTGGAATCAAAGTGACTGCTGCTGTCTCTCCGCAACAATTCCATTCCGCCGCCGTTTCAACTTTATAGTAAGGCCAACTGGGAAGGCTTCACCAATGAGCTCAAACACCATCTAGCTGACATTGATCCAACCCCCGATAACTATGACATCGGTTTGTTGATGTGGTGGTGCAAGAACATCTCTAGGGGCTGCCGTTTACAGGAAATACAAACGCCTGTATGAAAACGACCCTCTTGCTGTCGATACCATCTCAGCTGGGGAGGAATTAATAACAGCCATATCAGAACAGCTTCTGTTATCTAAGCTTGTGGCAAACCCCTGTGGTAACCACCAATATGGCCAAGAAGCCAATATGGCCTCCAAGCCTGGAGTATAATCAAAAAGCTCAGCAATGACCGCACAGAGCCTAGTAAACAGCATTGTAACATCACTGCCAACCAAATAGCCCACAACAACTGCTATTAAATGGTAAAGCGACCGAAACGCAAGCTCCGCCAGAAAGACCCCGCCATCGACCTTGGCTTCATCAAATCCTTCTCTGCTAATAAACTTGCGACTGGCATAAATAAAGAACACGAAAGCAACCAAACTGGATAACATTTTCACCGAAGAACTGAAACATCTTGGATCAAACGACTCAAATTGGTTACTCCAGCTCTTCAACACCTGCCTCGCCACACAAACAATACCTAAAGTGTGGCAAAAATCAAAGGTAATCGCCCCCTAAAACCTGGGAAAGACCCACTGCAGGTCAAAACTTATAGTCCCAAATCCCTTCTAAATAGTCTCGGTTAGTTTGACCCAAAAAAGTCAAGTGCGGTCACACAATCAAGTTGCTGAAACATTTCCTCCTCAACTGTCTTGCCTCTTCATTGAGAAACATACAGGAACAGGCAGGCAGGCTTCCGTCCCGGCAAATCTACAACTGGACAGCTTCTAAACCTCACTCAGTCCATTTGTACATTGAGGACGGCTTCCCGCAGAAAAAAATAGATCACCGGCATTGTCTTTGTTGATCTTACAGCTGCCTATATCACTGTTAACCATTGCCAACTCCTTCAGAAGATCCTGGACATGACGGCAGACCTGACCCTTACCCAGTTTATTGGTGTTCTACTGAAGAATTATCGTTTCTTTGTAGAATTCAATGGCAGAGTAGAGTACGACGTCTTCAAAGGAACGGTCTCCCCTAAGGGAGTGTGCTTGTATTCTCCTGTACAACATCTATACAAGCTACCAACCGACAGACTCGCTCGCAAAGCGCTTCATATGCTGACGACCAGCAGTGTATAGCATATCAACACACATGCTTTACCGCGATAGAGAAGACATTGACCGATGCTCTTGACCAGTCACAGCAGTGCTACACTGTGAGTCACCTGAAAGCGATCAACCCTACTATTAAGACCCAAGTGTGTACCTCCTGGGTTGGCCAGGCTGGTGTCGTCTCCCCCACTACATGAGAAGTAGGGAGATGGACAGGCACTATTCCAAATCCCATTATCTTTCCCTCCTTAATTACCCCCTCCCCTCCAAATGACCCTTCCCCAAAATAGATCCCCCTCCCCCAAAATAGATCCCCCTTCCCCAAATAATCTCCCCCTCTAGCTCCCCAAATATATCTCTTCTCTCTCCGAGTTGTTATATTATAAGTGGGGGGGGGGGGTACGGCGACAAACCCCATATTTCCCTCTGTCTAGGCACCAGACCAGGCTCTTACTATCTAATATCTTTCGCCGTCTTGGAGATCTTTACACAGACTCACAGCAACTGGTGGCGCCCTCTATCAATACTTATAAATAAATAGATATACAACGTTTTCTTAGGTTTACATGTCTGAGTTTTTCACTTTATTAAAAACGGCTGACTTTACCATTAAAACATATAACTTTAACAATATATAATATAATAAATATAGATCAAAAAATGATGTCAGAGTTCTATTGAACTAAAGGGAACTGCCAGTTCCCTTTTCTTTGTCAAACAAATTTTTTTCATAAGCATGATGTCATCACTAGTTCTATTGAACTAAAGGGAACTGCCAGTTCCCTTTTCTTTGTCAAACAAATTTTATTCGTAAGCATGATGTCAGAGTTCTGTTTAAATAATTGTCTAGCACATTTTAGTTTTTCATACAAAATGCTCTTTTCGAGACCACTGACATCCAGACATTGTGCTAATGGTTAAATATCTTATTTACAAGGGGCCACAATGTTTGCATTTGCAATCTAATCGGTGTCCCCATTTTCTACCTTCCTTGTCGTGTATGCTAAAAAAATTCACTATATGCTTTTTGTTTTTTCGGAAAAAACTTAAGGGTAGGCGGCAGTAAATTAATTGGGGATAATCCTTTGTTAGATCGTAAAATTCTCTCAATACTTTTGCCCACTTCTTCCCAAATGCCGCAATTGTTTTTTAACCATAAATCGAATTTTGGCGAAAGTACCCTCCCCTTTTCTTATCTTCTCGAAATGTTTGAAACGACACTTCTAACCATTCCCCAAACCTTGCTGCATTTAACAAAACCCTGTTTTCCCCATTTTTGTATAATTTATTACAGTCTTTGATACATGTTTCTAAATAACTTAAACTATGGCGTTGATTTACAGGTACAGCTGGAATATCCTCATTTACTGGTTGCCGCCATGGCTCATAACGGGTTTTTATTTTTTCATAGATTTCTTGGTGATTTACAGGGTTTTTCTTTGGTACTCGAGGCTGCTCATCTTCAGGTTCATCAATGTGTACTTCTAAAATGGGGAGTGGTGGTGGATTACGAAAACGACGCTGAAGGGCTTCAACGTGATCATTAAACTGTGGAGTCGCTATCAGTTCTTTTGCCTGTGCTACTACCTGTAAGCATTGAACGAATCCCACAACACACCAGTCGCTGAACGAGGAAATGATTCCGTTAGCCTCGTTTAGACCCTCCTCAACGTGAGTTATGCCAATGGTCTGCCTTGGAATCTCCATAGTGTTTCTAAAACGAGAGAACGAAAAAATAATAAATAAAGTGGCATATATATATTTTCATCCGTTTTATGAAATGGTAATTTTGATGTAGTATTCAGACAACCTTTTGTTACAAATAGTAGTCATGATTGCTGTTGTATCGGAAAAAATACAAATACTAAAAAGTTGAAAGTTATTTACAAAAATTGTTATGTGCTCTGCAACTGCTCATATCCTTCCTCAAAAATCTAGTCGACATGCATTTGTGTGATAGTGCCCTCCAGGGTTGAAATTGTACTTAGTAAAAGGTTGTTGTGTGGAACGTGAGTCTTGTACGCGCTACTGCAAAATTGTGTCGTTTTCTTCCGATTATTGTGAGTACTTTTCATACAATTTACGGGGAATATACCACACTAGTCAAGGGTGAATATTTATGTTTACCTTTCGATGGTGCAGACAACTTGTTTGGATTGCTGGGTTTCACGTTGTGTCTCAATTCCTCTTTTAGGAATCTGAAAAAATAATAATAATTTAAACAGTTAAAAGTTCACTTTAAAACTTTGTTACGTACTGTACAGCTCCCTCGCATACTTTTATTAAAAATTCTAGTGAAAAACAAAGCTTATAGTTTACCTTTTCAGTGGGGGTTGCTTGATTAAAACAAGTGTAGATATTACTGCTCTGTATTTTTACTGCAGTTGTTGATGCTGCTAGGCTGATGAACGTCTATCTGCTGGGTAGAATGTCTGTTGAATGGCAGGACTGTTCATTTGTCTACTTATATAACCAAAAAAATGATTAGTCATGATCATCACAGTGTTTCATAAGTGGTTGCAATTTTGGAAATCTCTAGAAAATTCCAATTCGAGACTATAACACCTTGCACAATTGTGCATTGTGTAATATTCTCAAATTTCAGGAAACAACAACCAAAATAACCTACGTCACTGGGGTTTTACACAACACACAATTGTGCATTGTGTAATATTCTCCTGTTTCCGAAAACTACAACAAAAAATAAACTACGTCATTACTATGAAACACTGTGATGATCATGACTAATCAAACAGTTTACTAGAACTGGGGTTTACACAACACACAATTGTGCAATGGGTGTTTTCCAACACACAATTGTGCGTACATGTACCAGAAAATTCCCATTTCAAGCCTGATAGATTTTGAGCGCTCAAAATCTATTCATCTGCATTCTCATGCACTCTCGAATAGTGTCAACTCACTTTCAATGTACTTGTAATTCAAAGTTGGCCCTCTTTATTCCCGAGTCTAATTCTGATGTCAGTGGATAAACATTTTGGTTTTATTCAAAAAAAATAAAATAAAAAAAATATTATCTAGTCCATATTTGAAGAGATAATATCTCTATATATTAAATGGAGACCAACTCAAAGCCATCACCTAAAGGCTATTCGCGGTGGGTTAAAGCTGCATTGAAGAGTTACGTTGATCAAAATAATATAGAGATCGATGAACGAGAAAATTATACTCGTCGAGACTATATTAAAGCCATAAGGGCTGAAGAGAGTAAATTTAAACGCTTGAGAAAAAGACACTACATGAGCTCAAACAGATTGTAGACGAACAAAATCTAGAATACGTACCGACGGGTTATAATGGTCGATTTTTAAAAAAAGATTTATTCTCAGCGATCAAGAGATTTAAATCTCCCGAAGATTTTCAAGAGGCTGACTTCAGAGGTACGAGAAGGTTTAGAAATAACTTTCGTAACTGGGAACTGATTCCGAGACAGTTTAATAATGACGTTGAACTGTTTTTTTTTCGCACTCACGAGCGACAGATCGAATGCAAAGTCGTATCAGAACTGAGAGAACTCACTAACATGAAGCTTCAGATTGCGATTACAGTGAGATATGTTAAAAATGTACCTGATGGAGAACGGGTGACTGCTGAATTTACCTTTATCAGTAACAATGTGGTTATTTTGAGGGAGAGTCAGGTAAAGCAAATTCTTAAAGAAGCGATCGATCAAGTAAAAGAAAAACACGCGAGTCATACAAATCGAGGATCAGGTTGGGTAGTCGATAAAATACTCGCGTTTTACATTAACGTAAACCGTTATGCTCAAGCAGGAGATAGTTCTTACATAGAGCTACCGACTATCTCAAAAATAACTAGAAATGTGTTTGTGGACAAACACAAGCTGTTTCGGATATTTGAAATACTCTGAGCACGGGATGTACAATCAGTAACGTCACTAAAAATGTCATCTATAACAGCACATTATAATATGTACATGTCAAGTTACAACCAAATCGAACATTTTAGTTCTGTAGATATAGACCTATAAAAGAATAGAATGCCCCTTTAAGGTACTTCACATGACATTTGATGATGATGTCACTTCAATTTCCATCTATAACACATCCATGTGAATATGCATACATGTACCAAGTTTTAACCCAATCAGACTAGTACTTCCGAAGTTCAGTTTGAAGAAAAACGTGTACAAAACCAATAGGGAAACAATGCATCTTTAATGTGATGTAACCTGACACCTCATGACGCCACGATGACGAATTTCTTCTAGGACCATCTATGGGTAGTGGTCTAAGTGTGTACCAAGTATAAAGTCGATCGGATTTACGAAGATGCCAAACTGGAGCGTTTTAAAACATGTACAAAACCTATGGGGAAAATGTGCATCTTTAATGTGAAGTAACGTGACACCTGATGACGTCACGATCACGAATTTCTTCAAGGACCATCTGTGGGTGATAGTCTAAGTCTGTACCAAGTGTAACGTCGATCGGATTTACGAAAGTGCCGAAATGGAGCGTTTTAAAACGTGTACAAACCCTATGGGGAAAATGCATCTTTAATGTGACGTAACGTGACACCTGATAACGTCACGATCACGAATTTCGTCTAGGACCATCTGTGGGTGCTGGTCTAAGTATGAATAAGGTTTAAAGTCGATCGGATTTACGAAGATGCCAAACTGGAGTGTTTTAAAACGTGTACAAAACATATGGGGGAAAATGCATCTTTAATGTGACGTAACCTGACACCTGATGACGTCACGATCACAAATTTCTTCTAGGACCATCTGTGGGTGGTGGTGATGTAAGTATGTTCCAAGTCTGAAATCAATCGGATTTTAAAAAGTGGCAAAGTGGACTGGTGGAAGAAACGTGTGTTAAACCTATGGAGAAAAAGTCTGAAAAAGGAGAGAAAAAAAAAAAAATAGAGATCTATGTCTGTTTGCAACAGAACATAGGGCTTTTCCGCATTATGATTTTTTTTATCAATAATACGTCCCTGACAATGCATGAACATAAAATCTGTCAAAGTTAGCCGAAAATCGGCTAAAACGGTCACTGTGGACAGGATTTGACCTCAGCAACACGTGCGCTGCGGGCTGACTGACATACGATGTACATGTGCGTATGTACAACGTACGTGCATGTGCAATACACATTGAGGAAGTCCTGTGCATGTTTTACAGCTCTCTACCGCAACTTGCGTAAGGGTATTTTTTGCCGACGTCGCGTCAACTGTGTGAACAATTTGACAAGCTGGGAACTTGGCACTGTTGAGGCAAATGTTTACGCTATCATTTAATGGGCAATTCAAGATTATATCTGTACGGATTGATTTGTTAGCAATTTTTAAAAAAGGAAAGGTCTTTTCAACGGAACTTCCAGTCTGATGACGTCATATGCCTAAAACTTCGCACACCTCTTAAGTGGGTCAAGATCATCATATACACCAATATTTAGGCAATTCCGACAAACTTCGCCACAGACATCTATTCAAAATACATTTTTGCTAATTTTCAACCCGTCGCTAGAGGGCGCTCGAAGATTGCATGACGTCATCGGTAGATGATTTGAAGAATACTATTGGCCAAGAGACTAACACCGTTAAAAGCAAGTTTATATCTATTACCACTTTCAAATGATAAGCCACTTCCGGTTTGGGCCTTTTTCGACCGGAAGCAAGGGTCACGTGATTTCACGCACACTGAATAAAATAAAGACCTCAACCTATTCTACCACTTGCCGGCAACAAAATGCTGCGGACGCGTACGGTTGATTTCTTATGCATTTTTGAATATTAAAAGCGTCACAATTTAATTGCCTATAAATACACACCTGATGACGTCATCATGACGTCATCATTACACAATGTTGTTTAAATTAGGGTCTTTGCTTAGACAAAGATTGGTGTAAATGAATTACTGGCAAAGAGTCAAAAATGCCCTTTGCAAATCGACAATTTTTTTTAATCTTCTGTGTACAAAGTCTATGGGAAAAATTAAATATTCAAAAATCTATAATAAATTAGTCGATGACGTCACCATGACGTCAATCTTCGGGACACATCTTTGCTATAGGGACTATGCTTATGCTAACTTTGAATGATGTAGGACAAAGATTAATGCCAAAAGTGGCGTTGAGAAAAAACGTGCACAAAGTCTATGGCATTTAGGCGACAAAAAGAAGAAGCCAAAAAAAAAAAAAAAAATGAGAACAAAAACAAAGGCTTTTCCGCAACTTTGCGGAAAAGCCAAAAACTAGTACATGTCAAGTTATAACTAGTACATGTCAAGTTATAACCAAATCGAACATAAAGGTCTGGAAATATAGGTCAATGAAGAGCAAAATGCACCTTTAAGGGACGTCACATGACATTTGATGATGACATCACATGAATGTTCATTCATAACCCATCTTGGCATTGGTACGATCACGAATTTCTTCTAGGACCATCTGTGGGTGGTAGTCTAAGTGTGTACCAGGTCTAACGTCGATCGCATAATTTACTAAAGTGCCAAAGTAGAGTGTTTTAAAACGTGTACAAACCCTATGGGGAAAAATGCATCTTTAATGTGATGTAACCCAACACATGATGACGTCACGATCAAGAATTTCTTCTAGGACCATCTGTGGGTGGTGGTCTAAGTATGTATTAAGTCTGAGGTCGATCGCATTTATGAAGGTGCCAAGGTGGAGTGTTTTAAAACGTGTACAAAGCATATACGGAAAATGTGCATCTTTAATGTGAGATAGCGTGACAACTGATGACGTCACGATCACGAATTTCTTCTTGGACCATCTGTGGATGGTGGTCTAAGTATGTATTAAGTCTGAGGTCGATCGCATTTATGAAGGTGCCAAGGTGGAGTGTTTTAAAACGTGTACAAAGCATATAGGGAAAATGTGCATCTTTAATGTGAAGTAGCGTGACAACTGATGACGTCACGATCACGAATTTCTTCAAGGACCATCTGTGGGTGATGGTCTCAGTGTGAACCAAGTGTAACGTCGATCGTATTTACGAAAGTGCCGAAATGGAGCGTTTTAATACATGTACAAACCCTATGGAGAAAAATGCATCTTTAATGTGACGTAACCTGACACTTGATGACGTCACGATCACGAATTTCGATTAGAACCATCTGTGGGTGGTGGTCTAAGTATGAATTAAGTTTAAAGTCGATCGGATTTACGAAAATGCCAAACTGGAGTGTTTTAAAACGTGTACAAAACATATGGGGGAAAATGCATCTTTAATGTGACGTAACCTGACACTTGATGACGTCACGATCACGAATTTCGTCTAGAACCATCTGTGGGTGGTGGTCTAAGTATGAATTAAGTTTAAAGTCGATCGGATTTACGAAGATGCCAAACTGGAGTGTTTTAAAACGTGTACAAAACATATGGGGGAAAATGCATCTTTAATGTGACGTAACCAGACACTTGATGACGTCACGATCACGAATTTCGTCTAGAACCATCTGTGGGTGGTGTTCTAAGTATGAATTAAGTTTAAAGTCGATCGGATTGACGAAGATGCCAAACTGGAGTGTTTTAAAACGTG